TGGGGCTTCCTCGAAGTCCGAGCCCATTTGGGGCAGGAGCTCAGGTTCCAGCAGCCTGAACCACCCCCAGCCTGGCTGTTGTACATGGCCTGCCATCACCTGCTGTGCTTGTAAAGCCCGCTACAAACAGGCACCTTAGAAAGAGAGGTGACCTTAAAAAATACCTACTTTCAGGGAGAAATTGATGGTAGTGCAGATTGGTATGACAGCAAATATTACTAGGATTTTAGCATTGTTAGTTTTTTAAAGAGGGAAACAGTCCTCCGAAAGCAAATGGCCAACATGTGCTGTTACTGTAGAGATGCTCTCAGGTTTAGAGCTGTACATCAGAGCAGTTTACAATAAAGACCATCATCAGAATATTCTGAGCACAATAAGGACACCCTGTAAATAATGTGAAAGGTTGTGAAGCCAGGATTGCACTTTTTTCCTTTGGAGAGGGATTTGCCTGTTTTCTACTCCCCCTCTCCAAGCCCCCTTCTGAACACAGAACAAAACTCTTGGGCACAGTCCCGTGCATGTTCCTCCTCCATGGCTCAGCTTTGCTTTGTTTCCACCAAGTTGTTATTTACAACATTTAGGTTTAACCCTGGAGTGGCTTCAGTGAGAGACAAGGCCATAAAAACATTGCTCAACATCTTGTGCACCTGTGTCCCTCACTGGGTCAAGCTATACAAGGAGAAAAGCAGTGTTCTGTTCTGGAGGCAACCTAATTCTTTTCAGCAAGGCAAGTACAGTCTCGGAGGCCTTTTAATTAATTCCTTTGGTGTAAAGTGTCCTGGGTTTTCAAAGACCTGTAATCCTAAGTCAGCTTCTCACAACAGAAAAATTTGTAACCTCTAAAATTAAGTGCCATGCATCCATTTGACACAGTAACTGCTACAGCCTTCATCTTGAGCAGAAATGTCAACAATACAGTAGCTGAGTAACTGGTCTCATAGTTATTTCAGATGAGAACTGTTGCACCAATCTCTCAAACCTATTGTTTGGCATAAGTGATTTGGAACACTAATGCCATCATATCTGGGCATATCTCTTTGAGCTTCTCAGTGTGATTTGCATTAATTGTTGTGTTTTGCTTATAGGTCAGCATCTGATTGTGTGGTTGCCCCACCCTTTCTTGAATGTATCTCCTGCAAGGAATGAAGCCTATTAATTAACTTATTTCCGGGTGTCAGGACACCTGATGGTTTGTAAATCTATCAGGAAGATAAAAAATATCTTATTCCTTGAAGATAAAAAGCCCCAACAACAAGAAGGCAATGAAAACTGAAAGAAAAAGAAAATTTAAGGAAAATATTATTATCAATCAAATTAAAATTCAGAAGAATGAGTAAGTACAGGCCCTTCTGCATGGGGTTGTTTTATATTTTAGTTTCTTCTTGCTCTTCAACAGAACCTTTTCCACATCCTTCTTATTATTTATTTGGGAATAAGATGCTTTAGTATTGAACATATACTAGAAGAGTGTGCAGAATCTCCAAAGGCCACAGTGTCACCACAGGTAGGATTGGATTTTTAGTTTGCTTAGCTTGTCGAGCAATGTACAATCACCTTTCATTTGTTATGTAGTTGTAAGGTGCTCTGTGTCCCCATTAGTCTTAGTAGGTATGGCAAACAAGCTGGTTCCCTTGTTGACTTTCTCAAATTTGGTTTCTGTTTACTTTCTGTAATGGGTCTAATGCTGGCTAAATGCCCATGCACTAGAAATTATTTACTCATTTCCTGCTCTGAGATATGGATTAGGAGGAGGAGGGCAAATCAGGCTCAAAACTTTAAAGGGTATAAAGAAAACTTTATTAACAAAATTAAAAGAAAAATAATAAGAAAATCAGAATAAACCTTCAGAACACTTCTCCTCCCTCCACACCCTCTTTTCTTTCCTACTGACAACATGAAGAGAAAAAACCCGGGACTTTCAGTCAGTTTATAACCTCTAAAATAGTCTTCAGGTCTCTTAGAGAGGGGAGTCTCTCTTGCAATGCTATGGAGACTCCTCCACAGTAAAAAATTCTCTCCTGGCTATTAATTTCCATGAATACCAGCTGCCTGGAAATCTGCAATCGTGAAGTCCCTCCCATCTTTTTTGCAGCCTTCCCACAGCTGCATTCATGGGCCATGTCAACTTATTGGGGTGCTGTTTTTAAGGATGAGCTGTTCTAGCATAAAAACAAAAGTTCTTTTAATCCATCTCTGGGAACAGAGATTTTCTTCTTCTGTTCCTAGGGAAAGGTTTCTCATTTCTCTCTGTTTAAACTTTTCATTGGATCACAGCTACTGCAACATCTGCTTATTTCAACACTGATGGTTCTGCTCATGGCTGTAGTTAGAACACTACATCTACCCAACGCATTCCATGAATTATGGGGAAAAAAACCAGAGTTTGATATATCAAATGCACCTTCACCATAGTTTTACAAAAAGAATTTCACCCCAATATTAAGGCATCTAGTCAATCCCCTCCCATCGTAGAAAAAACCCTTGGCTTTGTTCTGAATTTGTTTCTTGGTAGCTTCAACTGTTTTCCACCCTTTCCCTGCTGGTTACAGTTTCATAATATGAAACTGTATGCTATATGCCCTAAATAAGCTTGTTTCAGAATGAGGCAGCTGTTCATTGCTAGACCTTTATTAAGGCTTCTCCACTGAATCATCAACTGGAGATCTGCATCTGGAGGGGAGAGCAAACAATGACTTCAGGCTCGTGTCAGAAGTGAATGTAAGTTACCTGAACTGTGTGCTGGACACTGGGACATAGTCTAGGCACTTGCTCTCTTTTTGTTGCTCACACACACTACTCCAGTAATTGTGATTATAAAGAGTTTGTGTTCAAATGGCAGTAAACTTGCAGTGACTGTGGGTTGTTTTTCTCCAAGTGGTACCAGTAAAACAGGTGATCTGGTGTCAGTTATACACAAATATGGCTGTATTCACACAAAATGGTAACAGTTCAACTGCAACTGGCCTAAACCTGAGAACTGCTGAATTTCAACAGAAAACCAGCCCATTCACAGGAAGTCCACCTACATAGGAGGTGTGTGCACTAAATGGTATGAGGGGATTCCTAAGAAGGAAGGTCCAGAGTAATTCAGAAGGCTTGCTATTGCAGGCCTGAAGCTGTGCCTTTTTGGAATATTGGTGCTCTGAGCTTTAGCAGATATGCTGAGAGGAATAAGGAATGGTTGTACAAGGCAGGGGCAGGGCAAGAGTGAGTAACAAACATGGCAGGCAGAGGCTGTTGCTACAGAACCCCGTAATGCAGAGGAGTTTGTGTGCTGTTGTCTGTCTCAGATTATTGCTTCTGCCTTGTCTCACACAGCAAGTGATTCATTGCTTTTTTTTCTCAGGGTGGGGCAGTAATTGCTTTCCTAGATTGCTAAAAATAAAGCCAAACCATTACTAAAATATTAATCTTTAAATGGGGGGGGGGGGGGGGAAGCAGAATGCTGATGTGTCCTATAAGCAACTGAACTTTTATCCAGAATGGATTTATAGTACTGCTATGAATAACAAATGCATGTCTTTAAATAATGAGCAACCTATTCCACAATCTATTTTTACTTAATCAGATCTCTGTTTATTCCTAATGTATGTTTCCATGTACAGTAAGACACACTGGGTTTCTTTTCCTACTGTTATTTCTCAGTATGTGGCTTTCCTTCTTGATTCATCAACATGTATTTATCAGTGCAATGCCAAACTGTGTTACTTAAAACTGTCAGAATGAAACATCTCTTGTGAAAGCACAAACACCTTGAAAATCTGTTGCTTATCTTTTGCTATAGCAAGAAGGTGCTGACTGGCATTATGTTGGGCCTTGCTGCTAATCTGCTCTTTTCTTACTATCCTGGATGATTACTGTTGTACCATGTGTTCTGGGAAATGAATTGTGCTATTATGTATTTTTCATATCACACAAATATATATTTTTTATTTGTAAATGAATTTTACTTTCTTGAGGAATTTGAGATCATGTCATAATCCAAGCAAGGAGAGAAGAATATGAATTTTAGAAATGGCTGTTGTGCAGTTCCTTGGCCTTGCAATGGTCTGCATTGGTGACTTGGTGATTCCTCCTGCAGAGCTCTGCAGTAGCTGCTGCACAATAGTCGTGTGACTGTGGTTTCCAGCTATGATTTATGGTCAGATAGCACTATCTAGGAAAGCTTTGAGGGTCATTGCTTCTCTTGGCCTGAGACATGCTGTGCTTTTATGGGAGGCGTCTGTGGGTGGTGACTGGAAGAGGTAAAAAGGGAGCTTAGGCATTTGGAAAGTTTGTGGTAACTTGTTTGCAGGAGGCACGAAACCTGGTTAGATGGACTAGAACTGCCAGAGCAGCAATGGGACAGCCATCCTGCGGCTGTCCCTGTGTGTCTGCGGCCTTGGGGCAGCAGGAGCAGCAGCGCAGCGTGTGAGGTGTGCTGTGCTCGGTGGCAGTGGAACAGCAAAGGCGAGCAGCCCTGCGGAGCGATGCCGGGCACTGCGTCATAGCCCCGAGCTCTGCGGGCGCTGTTCCCTGGAGCAGGAAAGGGCTCCTGGGGACTGTAAAGAGGAGCAGGGGCTGTGCCCAGCAAGCGCCACCGGCACAAAGGCCCCGGCTCTCCGCGGCTGAAGGGCGTCTGCAGTCCGTGTGCCAGGCCGGGAGGCGGGTGGGCCCCGAGAGGGTGACCGGTAGTTTCTCAGGAAGGGCAGCGGCGCGTGGCTGCTGTTGTATGTACGGCCGACGGCCGCCCGTCTCCAAGGAGAGAAGAACGTTGCCCAGCAGGCCCCGGGGCGGAAGGATCCCGGGCGCGGCCGCTGCGGCCGCTGCGCAGCTCCTCCTGCCCCGCGGGCGGCCCCAGCCCCTCCGCCCGCCCGAGTGCACCGGCCCCGCCCGGCCTCTCCCCTTCGCACGGCCCGCCTTCCCGCAGGCCCCTGCCGCCGCCGGGGCTGCCCGCCCGAGCGCCTGCCGGGCCGCGGCGCCGCCGTCCGGCTTTCGGTTCGGGGCTGCGGCGCCGCCCGCGGCTGCCGAGCTCTAGGCCGCGGGCGGCGGCGGCCGCCGCGGGGCCGGTGGTAGTGTGGCGCGGCGGGCGGGGCAGGCGGCAGGATGGGCGGCCCGGGCACACCGGGGTCCTGCGGGACGGCAGCGGCGGGCGGGCGGACTGGTGTCTCCTTCACTTCGCCCTCCAGTGCCCAAAGCTGCAGCAGCGCGGTCTGCCGCACGACTGCACCCCCCCGTGACCGGCCCGAGCCCACCTGCCCCGACGACCGGCCACAAGCAGCACAAGCAGGTGCCGGCCCCGGCCGCTACCGGCCCCGCGGGGCAACGTGGGGGGGGGGCGGGCGGGGCTCGCCTGGCGTCGAGCGGGTCCGGGGCCTCGTGGGCCGGGGGTTGAGGGGCCGCGGGCTCGTCCCAGCGCTCCCGGGTTCGTGGGGTGGGCGGGGGGCTCTCCGTGGCCGCTGTCCCCGCGGCCGGGCTCGGTTGCGCGAGGCGCGGTGGGGCGGGCCGGTCAGGCCGGGATGCCCAAGATGGCCGCGCCGAGCGGGTCGGTTCACCTTGCGGCGGGGCGGGCGGCGCGCCTGGCACCCGGCCTGGGGCCGCCGCTCGGCCCGGCCCGCGCTGCGGCCGCATCCCCGCTCGCCCCTCTCTGCGCTGCCCTTCCCCTCCGGGAGGCGCTGCTTTACTACCCCCGCCTCGCTTCCTGAGCCCATTTCCAGATCTTGTCCTTTAAGTTTCTACATTGGCCTGGCCGGTATCAGGCTTGCGTGTCCACCTCCGATCTGTGAATAGAGAGACGGTTAATGCAAGGGTAAGGAGGTGGCTTTTTTTAAAGCTCTCTGCACTATCAGTGTAAGCCTGAAGGTCACCGTGTGTCCGGTGTATTTTAACAAATTAATTTTTTAATAACCTTAATTCTTCTGTTGCTATTTATTGGGATACGGATAATTTCGGCATAGTTGTTGCTTTTTTAAATTGCATGAATACAGATTTTTAAAAACATCTATTATAGGCTGATATGGTTTCTAGTTTGATCTTGAATATCTTGAGATCTTAAAAGTGTTAGAAATCCTAATAGAGGCCTGTGGCATTTGTTAATTGTAGAGTATGAGAGTTTTGAAATACTGCCTCCAAGGAGAACTGTGATGTAGTAATTCCAATAACGTTAATACATTTTTCTGTTCTTGGGGTGACTTATTTTTTCTTTTTATCGCAGAAGAAAGCATGATTGTATCTCCTGAGTAACAGATTATTTAACATTTTTTCATCATGGTGGCATGAAACAAAGATTAGGGTGGAGCTCTCACTCGGCTCAAGTATATTCTGTACTTCGAGTCGATTATTTTATAGTTTTTAAAGCAAACTTGTAGTTGCTAAATGATGCTAATTGTTTAGTGACTTCTGATTAGTAGTTTTTAAGTGAAAGATGCTTCAAAATAGGGTTGGAAAAAATTGTTTGTCATTTTAAGAATTTGTGAACCTATCTAATGTTGAAGGACACAGGACTGATTTTTTTATGGCCCTGTTATCATTTAATGAACGTTCTGACGGTGACACTGGTTTATCAGGCATTTAGTATATCCAAAATTAACTCTTGGTTTCCTGTTTTGTCCTCATCTATCCCTGTCAGTAATACAGTATATTATTAGAACAGCAGTGTGACAGTTGTACTCTCTTTCAACATTTTATCACACAACTTGTATCTGTAGACTGCAATGTCTGACAAATACTGGTTGGTTTCCCTGAAGTGGTAAGGATACTTAACTAGGCCAGATAAAACAGTAGCATCCTTTTTACTGTAATAATCCTCTAAATTTTGACAGAGATACAAGTTTGTTACCTTCTCAGGACATTTCTCCTTAGCATAAATCTCTTGTCTGTACTGGTTGTCTAGTCAGCTTGGAAACAATGAAAACAAAAGGGAAAAGCTCGTTTATTTATACTGTAAAAGCATGTCTGTTGTAAAGGCTAATATAAAACTCCAAAACTAGAAATGATTATTTTTCTGGCAATGCTAGTTAGAGGTGAGATGTACTCATGAGAGGAAAGGTGTAGCTAAGCCTTCTCTGTGAGATGTTAAACGGCTGAATTGTGGGGGTGCTGTGCAGCAGAACTCTGCAGGCGAGAGTTCTCACACTCCCTTGTAATTGGTCTATAAGCTGCTGCTTTCTATGGAATAAATAATAGGAACCATTCAATGGCTTGTCACTGGGATCAGGGTCTGTTCTTCTATAAACTTGAACTTGGGCTAAGCTTCTTTATGCGTCAGATGCTTTAAGCCATTTTCATGTCTCTTTAAAAAAATGTTTAGTTTAACTCTGTGAAAACCAGACTTGTTCTTGAGCAAGTGATAGATGTCTTGTTGTAGTGACTTGGTTGTAGAGTTTAGACATCTTTCCTAAAGAAGTTTTTCTGAATTTGTGTGTATGTGTGTGAAACTGAGTGTAAATATTGTTTCTTAGAGGAAGTTGAAATGATCCCCTTAGGGCAATAGGGAGCTGAAGTAGGCTACTCTGGAAATCTGCATTATGAATTGTAGAAAAATAAGGAACAGTCTTCTGCCTTCCCATTGGTTGCTAAAGTAGTTTGGTTTTTTTTTTTTTGTTTTTTTGGTGTTTTTTTTTAATTAGTAGCAGTTCATACAATTTGGCCGCATATGGCAGGTGTAATTAGGGTTTGGAAGCTAACATGTGAGAACACTGCCATTGTTGTTTTTCAAGTTCTAAAGATAGTTTCTTCATTTACTTAAAAAGGAAAAAAATCACCACACTAAAGGAAAATAAAAAGTCAATTATGTTAATCTGAGTCTCTCAGCTAAACCAATGTGACCAATCAGTTTGAGAAGATAAGATTTTTTGTTTGCATGTGTTTAGCCTTTTCATGGCCTTGTCTAGTTAGTTTCATTTTCCCCTCTTCCACAGTTTGGGGGGAGTTATTAATATACTCTGTTTTCTATATTTCACAACTTTAAAATACAGGCCTCTGTAACAGCAGCCTCTTGCTATTGAAATCATGGGAAAACAGTGTTTGAAGGAAGTGCAGATAAGAGTGTGTGTTCCCAGGGAGGAGAGTGATAGGGGCCTCCCTGAGACCTTAGCCTGCTGTCTGTCCATGGGGCCACAGCTCATCTGCAGTGGCAGGTGCTTTAACACCAGGGCTACCAGAGGCTCCCTGTCTGAGAAAGGCACTTGTAAGGAGATCTCTGCTCCCAGACCCCACACTCCTCCTACTTGGATGTTTTAAACTAACAGGACAACTTCCCAAACTTAAACTCTTGTATGTTATTAGGTTGATTGCTGGTTAATGGCATTAGATCTTTCTTTTAAAATTGTATGTCTTCCGTGTGAAATATGGGGCAAAAATGATGTTGGAGAGCAGATATGCTCTCTCTTTACATTTTCAAAACTAAAACCTTGTGGGTACTTTGAGGTAGTTTTCATAAGCATGTGTCAACTTTGACTTTGTGGAACTTCAGGGAATAACTGTCTGCATTACAGGTTTTACATTTCTAGTGTCCAGGTTTTTGGCAGTGGCTATGCCAACTCTGGAAATGTGAGTTATTAATTAATTCCTGGTAATGAAAGATGTATGGATAAATCTACCTGAAAAGGTAAGAACTGGATGGTCTTGTAATGCCTTTTCTCTGCCATGCCTCTTCTCTGCCTAAGCCGAGAAAACATCTCATGTTCACAGTGACCTTCAGTGAAAAGCTGCATTTCACAGAATACTGTAATATCATATCAATCAATTTTAAATATATAATTATATCTATTAATTGTTTTTATGTAGCAGAATCTGCCTTAAGGATTATCTTGAAACAATTGTGGTAGCATTTTTTGATGTGTGCAGTGGCAGAAGGTTCATTATTAATTAACCCTTTACCTTTCAGCTCCAATGGCGATTCCTCCAGCATATGTAGACCTTGGCAAACCTGCCAGAGATATCTTCAATAAAGGATATGGTAAGAATAATACCTTTTATAAGTGGTGTTTGAGGTGCAACAATGAATTGCCTTTTTAAGTCTGTATGGGAAATTGAATGATCAAATGCCAGTGTTTTCAGGGAGGAGGAAGGTGTGCTGTGTTTTTTATCTTTACCACCAACAAACTGATCGTTGAAGGCTTTTTGTGGCTTGTTTTGATGTGAAGGCTGTTAAGTCTCACTGCTTGAGTCACATAAATGTCAGAGGTGTACAAGTATGCAAGAATGCCAGCAGCCAGTGTAGTTTAACTTAGCAGCACTTTGTTTACTGGTCTGTCTGTGCCACAACATTTGTTGATATAGAAAGGGTTATATACCCGTCTAATGTAGCCTTTTTTGGACTAGAAAGAGGAATGGCTATTGGGATAAAGAATCCTTCCACATCTTAAAATGCTTTAATACCAGATAGCTGTATAGTTAAATCATTCTTTGTTACAGTGCTCTGTCTTTCTGGTCTTTGGAAATGTGGGGGTTTTTTACTAAGACTGTTGCTCGTCTCTTTGGATAACAATGTGAATTGACACTCTCACAAAACCTACTTATATTCAATTGGTTGTGTATTTCCCAGTGACTTTGCTTTTACAGTTTTTTACTTTGAAATATTTTGTCTTGGTGCAGAAAGAGGTGGTTTATGGGTTGGGATAGCTCTTTAAAAGGCATTGACTTCCATTCCAGGAACAGAAAATGTATTTCCTTTTAGAAGCATCATTTGGTAGTTAAATATACTCATGCAGAACTGAGAGGCACTTCCCTGCCTTACTTTGGAGAGGCCTCCTTTACCTGCTGTGGCATCTGTATGCTGAAGTCAGTCTATAGCTGTTTATACATATTTATGTAGGACACTGCTGAGCCTGAAAGACCAGCTTGTTGAAAAATGTGCAGGGCCTTAGTTAATCCTGTAACTTTTACTTCTGTTTATTAAGGCTTTGGGTTGGTGAAACTGGATGTGAAAACAAAATCTGCAAGTGGAGTGGTGAGTTTAAGTAACTTTTATTCATTATATATATTTTCTAGCTACGTTCTGATACTTAGTTAAAAGGGGCACATTTCAGATACTGTTAAGTACTTTACAGGCTATATGAATGATAAATATCTGGTGTTAAATAATATCAGAAGCCCTTAAAGTTCTGAATGTATCAGGAATATTGCCTTGTTTAGTAATCTCCTTACAATAAAAGGGCTTATTAATTGTCCCTGGTCTACATGTGAAGGTAAACAAATAAAGGATTTTAATATACCAATTATAGTATACAGATTTTATTTCTGAAGTACCTTTGGTACTGTTTGGGGGAAAATTCTGGCATCTTGGTTTTTGGATGAAGTAGTTGGCATTGAATAAGCATGTTGAATCTTTGGCTCTTCTAGGTACTTAAGTGCTGCAGTAGTGTTCCATGCATGATGTCTTATCATGCAAGCAGTGCCCCCCGTGACTTTTATCTATTTCTATAGCAGACTTTGCGAAATACAATGGTAGATTTTTTTTTCTCCCCAGAACTGGAGCCTGAGTACTGTAACTTACTGTTAGAAACAAGGTTCATGGGTTATATGCTCTGTTTTTTCTAGAAGTCTGTATGGCAGTCGAAACACAGTTTGCAAGAGCCCTTACTATTACAGAGGTAGTTGTTCTTACTGTAGCTTGTTTCTTTGGAGGACTACCATTTATGCTGGTAAAACTCTCTGAAAAATCCAAGCCCTAATGTGAATCCCGTATCAGTTACAAGCCATCCTTCCCAGGAGGAGAAACTGCTGGCATATATGTACTACAGATGTTTTAAAGCAGAGATAAGAAGATAATATAATCATTTGTTTCTCCTGAAGCTATTGCCCCAATGGTTACAATCACATAGACTCTGCGCAGTAGGAATAGCACAAAGCAAAAAGTTCAAGCTGAAGGTATTTGTGTAGTTCCCATCCCTTGCCAAGAAATAGACCTGCTAGAATTATGCAACTGTGTATGGTGTCACTAACATCATACAGATAAATGTCTTGGACGTGGTCAGATTTGATCAGCCACCATTAAAGAACAGTTCAATCATGTTTGTTTTGCGCTTCTGGGGCTTTTACTAAGAGTGCCTAAAGACTTGCAATTTCAAATCTGTTTCCTTCTGGGGAAGGTGAGTGTGAAAGTTTGTTTGAAAATAATGTGTATGGAGGAAGACAGAGACAAAAATGTTTATTTATATGTTTTAAAAACTTCTTCTTAAATCATAAGGGCAATAATACTTCACTTGAAAGAGCTCTTTAAAAGATATTTGCAAACCTGGCTTTCACTTCTAATTACCTTCAGTTTTTGAATAGTGGTACACAGAAACTATTCATTCTGTTCTTTGTGAGAATCCAAATAGTGAGAGAAATCAGCGTTTACTTCCTTTAATAAAGAAATGTGAGTGATACTGTTGATTTCTAAGTTACTTTGAAGAATTTCAGGTCAGATCATACCATACTATAAACCCAGCCTGTTTGCTAAGCTCCCACTTCAAACATTATTTCTGTGTGTCATTGAACCAAGGTGCCAGGGCAATAGGAATTTTATATGTGTAGTAGAAACAGAGAAAAGAGTAGAAGGTGTGCCTATGGCTAGTATGAAAGGCTAGTGCATTGGGCAGACTAAGAACTCTTCCAAAAACAGTTAAAACCCCAACCCAAACAAAACAACCAAACCACCCACCCACCCCCAGTTTGAAAAATTATGCCATTCTATGACTTTTTCCAGTTGCACGCTGTAGAATGTAAAAAATACACTAAATCACAAAATACGTATGTGTATGTCAAAATCACAAAATACTTATGTGACCTTAAAGAATTTTACTGGAGTTGTAATACGTGCCTAATGTGTTCTTGGCTCTTGGTTTGATTTTTAAGTTGCTCACTGGGAGTGTCAGAACCTTACATTTCAAGAACTTGTTGCTGCTTTAGAGGAGAGTTCTTGTGGTGGCTACTGTCTTACTTTAATTTGCCACCTGTAAGCTTTGTAATAGTGGCAGGAACACTGCAGTTGAGATGGGATTGTGGAGAGTCCTCCATGTGGGCATGAGTCATTAATTCTTCTTGGCTGTGCTAGTCTCCCTTCTCCCCTGCAAGTTGTCTACTGATTTTAAATTTTTTTCCATAAGAAGATCTTGGTGCTTGCTGAAGGAAACACTGTGTAATGCTTTCAGGATCACATGTATCTTCTGTGCTTTTTAGGAATTCACAACATCTGGTTCATCGAACACAGACACTGGAAAAGTGAATGGAAGCTTGGAGACCAAATACAAGTGGGCTGAGTATGGTCTGACTTTTACAGAAAAATGGAACACAGATAACACTCTGGGAACAGAAATTGCAATTGAAGATCAGGTAATAGATTAGGAAAATATTTATTGGTTTTACCTCTGTGTAAGAATTGAATTTATAGCTTTATCTTATCTTCTTCCCCCTTCAATTAGCTTGCCAAAGGCTTGAAGGTGACATTTGATACAACTTTCTCACCAAATACGGGGTAAGAATTGTTAACGTTTTTACCTTACTTAGGGAGTGACAGCACCCATGGTCCATTGATCTGGTCTGTGGTATTGACAGAGCTTTTTGTATGGTTTGCTATTGATCCAGCTTAGCAAATCACAATGCTAAAGGCTTCTGCTCTTTACCATGACATCACTGTGGGGTTAGTATTGCACATTTCACAACTTTGCTTATTTTCTGGGATAGAAATACTGGAAGATTGCAGGAAACATGAAACTGTTGCTGCATTCATCAGAAAATGCCTGCTTGCTATAGCCCTGGGTGGTCTGAATAGGCTGGCTCTACTTTTGCCTGGTCCAGGGGATGCATGTGCAAGACTTCTAGATATGTTGTGTTAGAATCATAGGGCTTGAATCTTGCTGATCATTGAGGAAGATCATGTATGCTTAACGTAACTCTTTTCTCTGTTTCAGAAAGAAAAGTGGTAAAATTAAGTCAGCATATAAACGTGAATGCATAAACCTAGGCTGTGATGTTGACTTTGATTTTGCTGGGCCTGCAGTCCATGGTTCAGCTGTCTTTGGTTATGAAGGCTGGCTTGCTGGTTATCAGATGACTTTTGATACTGCCAAATCAAAATTGACAAGAAATAATTTCTCTGTGGGTTACAAGACTGGAGACTTCCAACTGCACACTAATGTGTAAGTACTGAAAACTTCTCCAGCTTTCCAGAAGCAGGCTTTCTTTAACTTCTAGTCAAAATACAAATGTTTGAAATATCAAGAGGTGCTTACAAGGCCATTAATGGAGTGCATTTTTCAAAAGGAAACTCAAAATAAATGTAAACGATACTTTGTATCTCTCTTTCAAAATGAAACACATGGGACTGGTCAGCACTTGCAGCATATGTGGTACAGATACTGAAGTATGTGCAGATTGGAAGTGCAGTGCTTCAGTTGTGCAGAACTGATCATAATGCTTTTTCTGGCTATCCCACTATATTGAATTGTATCAGATTACAATTTAAGGGCAGTAGCTTTGTTAGAGGTAGTAATTAATGTTGCATTAATGCTGTAATAGTTTCTAGAGCAAGACTAGAGCCTTTCTTCTGGGCTTTTTGTGGAGGTTCATCTTCTTGCTTGTCAGGGATTAAGAATGCATGAAACAGTGTAAACAAGTGTAAGACATCTTTCTTCAGACTTGCTGCCTGTAGATCTTACTCCAGAGCAATCTAATCAAGACTTACTGAAAAACATGGTATTTTCAATCCAAGTAAATAAAGTTGGTGGAGTTCTAGTGTGTTTAGATAGTTAGAAGTTTTGCTTTTGAAGGGAAAGCATGGGGATGGTATCTCTCTGAATTCATGGAAATTGAGGAATATAGGAGAAAACTATAAAATACTTTAGAGTCTGGGCTGTAAGAATTCCATTTCAGTTTGCTAATGTAAAACATTGTGACAGATTTTTGAAAGGTCATTCAGTTCTCTAGGAGTTTCACGTATTCAATAATCATAAGTGCAGAAGGCCCATTTTGTAACCATTAACACATATTTGCCAGTTTGTAAGGATTTGATCTAGAATTTTGTTCAAGGACTTTGTTTGGCAATTAACATGAGAATTAGCTGTAGCACCCTAAAATACCTTTTTATTTCCATGAATTACTGTAGTTTAATTTTACCCTGAAGCCTTTGTTCATCTCCCCTTCTCTTTTCAAAAAATGTGAAACAACTCAAATTTTGAAATTCTTACTTGAATAAAAATCTTTTTTTTTAAATCACTTTTTTTTTACTACTTCTGGAGTGGATTATGCAAATAGAAAGCTAACTTTTCTCTTAATTTATGCAGCAATGATGGTTCCGAATTTGGTGGGTCAATTTACCAAAAAGTGAGTGAGTCTCTTGAAACTGCTATAAACCTGGCTTGGACAGCTGGTAGCAACAGCACTCGCTTTGGCTTTGCAGCTAAATACAAGTTGGATCCCACTGCTTCTCTTTCAGTAAGTATGGCTGTAACCTGAAGGGTTGTTCAAAGTACAGTGTATTTTCAGTTGCTGTGAATCCCTGTGTTATTAGTTCAGAATAGGCTGGGAGGCCTTGTAGGAATTACTCTTACAGTCCAGGCAATTATAATTAAACCGTCAGTATTTAAATTCTGTCATGTTGCTTACAGCCAAGTCTCATAGAATCTGACAGTCAGATGTGCTTATGTTGGAGATCCTAATGTACTTATAAAATGAAAAACACAATATAAAAAATGTTTGTGTCTGGTTCTGTAAGTTTACACAATTTTTTTTAAATCAGTTTTTGGGGAGCTCTGTCACATTCTGTAAGAACTCTGGCAATACTGGTTAAAAGTTGATAAGCAGCAAAGTTTCCTGTATGTTACAAAATTGGAATCATTTTGTTGAGGAAGTGATGCAAAATGAGATAAATAATTTTGTGGATATTGTTTATGATGATATTACTCAATGTTTGCTGCGTGACTGACAAGATACTAACTCCTGTGTAATATGAACATGGAGGAGTCCTCTGATGTAGCATTTTTTTAGGAGACTGGTGGTAAATGTGTCTCTGGCCTTCTGAAAAAGGGGAAGTGGTGAAGTTCACCTATGAAACTATGTTTCAGTAACAGTTCTTCCTGCCCTTACATTCCTGCTCTTAAATATGTTATTGCTTCAAAATATGTTACTGCTTCAGCTGTAAGTTGGAGCATGAGGGCATAGCTGGAAGGAGAGAATTCAGGAAACACAGGTGAACTGAAAGAACAGATAACATTTGGTTAAACTGATAACAGCAGTGTTGCCATAATTATTCTGGATTCTAAATGGTAACAAATAACTAATCAGTTTCAGCATTTCAGTTGCCTTTTTTTTTTTTTTTTAGGCGAAGGTGAACAATTCTAGTCTAATTGGAGTGGGTTATACCCAGACCCTGAGGCCAGGTAAGAGCTGTCATGTGAATTATATCATATATATATATCTTCTATGCATCCTAAAAAAAATAGAGATCTCTGCATTTATATGCAATTATTTTCCTTCAGAATATTTTTTCCTTTGAATGCCAAGTAGATATTTTACAGTAGCTTCAATCATACATCAAACCATTAGCTAAGCAAGACAAACTATTTTATCTAATGGTATTAATATATTCCTCACTGATCTGTGCAGGAGTGGACTGTATTATGTTTGACAGCTTAGCTTTAGGCTAGGCAAAGCATGTCTTCTTTTTTGGCACTGCTTTGTCCAATCATACTGTGTTGAATGATAGCAGGTCTTCAAATTATGATTAATTGTCAAAACCTCACACTTCCTCCTCTTCATATTTAGTAAAGAAACCCTCCAGACCTTAACTTGTTCCACTTAAGTATGAAAGCACCTGTTAAAGCTGTATTACCATTGGTTAGTTCCTTACTTGAAAAATCTAGTTTCATTCCATCCCTTTATAGGTAGGAGTGCCTGTGCACAGATTTCCTCCTCCTTTGCATGTCTTAATGCAGGAAAGGAGAGCTCTTGCGTATTTAGCAATTAGAGACTTCATATATTGACGTTATAACTTTACAAAAATCATGGGACTAACTTTCAGTAGATTTCATGGATGTATTCTCCTCAAAAAATCTTTAGAGGAAAGTAGTTGTATGAAAAGAGAGCTACAACTGGGACTTGTGATGACAGAGGTTGCATGAAAGCTACTGTGTTGTAAACATGCTTCTTAAAAATCTTACAGGTGTGAAGCTTACACTGTCCGCCCTGATAGATGGAAAGAGCATCAATGCTGGTGGCCATAAACTTGGTCTTGGCCTGGAACTGGAGGCTTAAAAAGATGAAGAAACTGCTGCAGAGAAGGGATATCAGAAGAATTTGGCCTTAAAATGTATTTCCAATGTGACCAGCAGGCTTTTTCCCCGGAAGGATGACCTAGAACAAGAGCTGTATTTGAAGTATTTAGACAGTTACTTGTTAGCTGGTTTCTAGTTAAATTGGTTACCCATCTAGTTAAAATTCTGCATTAGTGCAGTCACTTAAACATTATTTAAATGTATTTAACTGTTTAATGCGCTACCCACAAATAATGAAATAGACATTTATGAAAACTGTACAATTGTGTGCATGTTTGTTTTTATGTTCCTTTTAACATTCGATATTGCCATTGAATGAAAAATGGATCACTGGATGTTTTGAAATGAGGTCAATAATTTTGTTGAATGACCTGAACTAGAAATACATTTGGTATCCCAAGACAAATTATGAATAAAACAAGTACACACACATACTTGTGCCTCAGATATTTTAAGAGTGAAGATACGAGGGTAGTGCTCAGTTAAGTTTTAACTTTAAGTAATCCAAGAAGTAGTGCTCTGTACCTTCGTGCAATTAAGGACCCCCACCCATGACAATACTGAATATAGGTGAACAGTTGGATTCCTCAAGCAAATTGAATGTGCTTTTCTGTCAGGTAAGGTTTGTCATGACACAATGGTTTATTCCCCCTGTGATCCACGAGCGAGATGTGCTGTGTTCCTAGTTGGCCTTCTGATGCAAGAAGTGCAGATCGGTGTACTTGGCACACTGAGACATTTAAGAAATGTTCCTTGAAAAACCTCACCACAAACACACCTTTTGCTTATATTTGTATGAAGTGAGATGTATCTCTGCAATGAATGTAACAGTGTAATGGTATAACAGCCTGCTTATCCCAACTGCTGTGAGAGGTTTCTGCTTAAAATGACTGAAATAAAGACAATTTTAAATGGACACAGAGGAAAATGCATCTGATCTTGCTTTCCCTTTAATAAATCTTGGCAGATACCCATTTTAAGTTCAGAAACTTGAAGAATAATGGGAAAACTTTAATGTTTTTCTAGAATAGTAATAAAGAGTATATAAGCATGAGGGATATTTAGTCTGCGGACCTAACATCCCTGAAGTTCGAACTAGCTGTGAATGCTTTTAATGTGTAGTATGTTAAATACATGTAGTTGCACTGCTTACATTTAAGAGTTGGAATTTACTGAGCTTGGGGGAATGCCTGGAGCCTACTTAAGATACTCTCATAGCTGAGAAGGGTCTCTTGATACTTAGTCTTGCAGTCAGTGGTTCACAGCAGCTCCCTTCGTAGTGCAGGTGGCTGGCTCATGATGAGGAAGCTCTCTCTGGTTTGAAAGTGTTACCAGTTGATACTGGATTAATGTCCACAAAAGTATCAGTGATTTGCTAGAGGTCTTGTTCCATTCTGCATTGTTGCCCTCAGACTGAAATTTCCCATGAAACACTCTGTTATAAGCTGCCTGTGTTTAGGCTTTAGCTGTGGAGTAGCTGAGCCACCTTCTTTGCAGAAGACAGAGTAGAGCTTAAGCCTCCAGCTCAGGCTCTTGAGCAGGCTTGCTGGTGTGCTTGACTAGTTTTCTTATATGAGAGTAAAGCATTTGTGCTGTGGGGTACCTTTACTGCTGTTGTCACTAAATGCCCTTGTCCGAGTTGCATTTCCACCATTTAGGGTGGAAGAAGCATGTAAGGTGTAATTTGTTGCTGTATTGCATGTTGTGCATATTTTTATTTTGAGGTGGTTTTATGTGCTAGACCACTTAAAAGCTAGAAACCATGCAGACAGACATTGAATTTTTGTATGTGTTTTCAGTATAACCATCTTTGGTGCCTCACAAAGACTGGGCTTCTGATACAAAAAACACCAAAAAAAATAAAGCTTAAAAAAAACCAAACCAAACCACCAAAACATTCCCAAAACAAACCAAAACAACCTACCAAAACCAAAAAAACTTCCCGAAATGTTGTGTGCCTGTGTAGATTGTCCAGCTGCAGCACCCAGACAAATAATGGATTGTGTCTTTTGGTTATGAATGTTTCTATCCTTGTTTCTATCCTCTTTTGAGGGGGCTGTAATTGACTTTTGTTTTTGGTGGTAGTGGTTTTGGTTTTTTTTAATTTTAGACGCAAACACTATAACCTTTTTCTTCACTATCTGCTCATCTAGATATTTTTTTTCTGAGGTCACAAAATGGGTAAGTGATATAAAAGCACATATTGCTGAGTTTCCCTTCAACTCTTTAAAATTAGTAATGGAAACTTGAACCTATTCATTTTACTCTTTGTAAATGTGCATGACTTAACCAGCCCTCAGCCTTTAAACTTTAGGTAGTTGTAGTTGTTACAGTGCTGATAGGCAGCCAGAGAAGTAAAAGGGCTCTGCAGTAGTTAAGAGAACTGTGAAAATGTGAGTTTTTCTAAAATACTCTGTCATAAATCACTACTTTGAACATTAAAATGAAGTTCAATGTCTTTTTCTTAACATCTCTCACGTAAGGCTTATTGAAAATGGCTTTCAAACTAACTTTTCAACTGTTACAGAAGCTTGTGGTGTAATTGGAGTTCTGTGGTAAGGAATGTTGGTAGTTTATATAGCTCCATTTTATTAAAATATGTAAAAAGCCTTAACGATAACTTTCAGTGCCAGACAGCCTTTCCTCAGGTGTTCTGAATAAAAAACCCCACCACTTGAGATCACCAATGACCAGAGCATCGTTCTGCATCTTGTTTGTGTAAATTGTAGCATTGCATTCCTGCCTGGTACAGCTGGAGTAGGGGGTGTCTGTGTACATTGCAAGGAGACTTAATCATGCTTTCATAAATAAAAATCCTTTCACATGAGATTATGATGCCCTGGATTTCACGAGTTACTGTCTGAATGTCCTGAATGTTTATGCTCTTCCTGTGCTGTGGAAATTCTCCAGGTTGGTTCATTTAACCCTGCACTCTTCACGTGGTTCAACTGGGTGTGGTATATTCCTAAATCTGCCTCTTGCACTCTGCAGTTGTTCAAAAGCAGGAAATTTTGAACTATTCTGGAATGGGTAGGGAAACCTTTTGCCCCCAAGCGTTGTGATGGGTTTTTACCTTTCCTTTGGCGCTGGATAAAGCGAGGCAGCAGTAAGGGTGCTTGCTGCCCTCTAATGTCCTGTTCTGGTGTTGGGCTCATTGCTGCAACAGGCCGTCAGCCGTGCACGAATACACAATTAATTCCTGGTGGCTGCTCTGCTAGGGGAAGTAGAACCGGGCAAACGAGACAGCTTATGTGCGGATGATTCAGCCCTACTTCTATCAAAGGTTTCCTTATCAAACCTGTGAGCAAAGACAGAAGCAATTCTATGCAAGGCGAGGCAGTAATAAAACTGACTCCCACCTGTAGCAGTAGTGTCTTAGTGGCAGGTAGAAATGCTTCCTGGGAACCAGCTAAGAGGAAGGGAAACCCAAAGAGAAAGCCGGCTGGGTTGCATAGCATGAAAAGGCTAGGCTTATTTTAACTGGTTTTATTGTGTTTGTCAGTTTCCCTTTGCAGTGGAATGTTTCTGTTCCCAATCTGGAATAGTAATAAAAGCATAGATCATATCCATTAGTGTAGTGTGCATTCATTGAAATTAGTGGTATTTTGTTTCTCATTATTCTTTCTGGGCCTGCCTTTTAGTTGTGCTTTGGGTCCTTCTTTCCACATGCTGCTGGATCAAATGGGAAGCAATAAACAAGTGCATTTTTCTGAGCATAATGTGCAGCATCTTTTACTTCAGCTGCAAGTTTGATACAAATGCTTATGTAAACAGAAGAAAACTTTTTTTTTTGCAAAGCAGTTTCTGAGAATATTAATTAAAACTTATGAAAATGCTATTAGACAGAATGTGAGGTGTTACATACTGAGATTTGGTTCATATCTACCCTCATGTATCTGCTGATGCTGGGAAAAGTGCTGACAGACCTTTAAAGATGGCAAGCCTGGACTGTTTCAGCTCCAAATATTTGACCTTTACTTCAGATCTTTTTAAATGAGGATTTTCTGCTGAGCTGAATACCACGGCAGAACTTGCAGTACACTTGCTGGTTAACAGTAGCGCACATACCAGAAATGTTTTGTGGGTTTTTTTGTGGGATATTCTTTGTCCTGGATCCATGGGAGAAGATCCTAATGCTGAAGCAATGATGCTGTTTAAGGGTTTGGCATTCTTAACACTCACTTTTTTTGTTTACTTTGCCTGTGTTCCTATGAGCATTAAACCACTGAATGGCTATTACAGAAACGTCCCTTGTCTCTGGCTGTGCTTCACCGCTTCAGCCTGAGTTACCGAGCTCTGCCTGAGAGCCGGCACGGACGGGAGAGCTGGGGTGGGGGCCCACAAGGAACCAGGCAGCTTTGCCCTCGGATTCTTACCGGTCTGTGGTGACATTGTTAAAAATACGCTTTTAAATGACTCTTTAGTACGCACACGCGACTCCTTCGTTTAAGAAATGCTAAATTTCGCTGCACTGTGGTTGGGGTTTGGCTGCGGTGTGGGGAGGGATGTGTTTGAGTTCTCCTGCACCGGCCGGGGTATTTTCCCGGCAGCTTCCGAGCGAGCTTTGTTGCCAGCTCAGCTCAGCGAGCTGTTCCTGGTGATCCGCTGCGGTCCGTGCCGCGGCTCTGGCGGTGGCAGACGGGGACGATGGCCCCGAGCCGCCCGGGCCGCTGCCGCCCCCTGAGTCCGCCGCGGGCTGCGGGCGCCACCTGGCGGCCGCCGGTGCCCCCTGACGCCGCCGTTGCGCCCTCAGGAGGAGCCGCTCCTGCGGGCACCGTCCCCGGCCCACCGACCGAGGGAGGCAGTGGGAAACGGTGATGGCAGCGAGCCCGAGTCATCCTGAGACGAAGAAACAGAATTAGAGGAGGAAAGGCCCCGCGTACGCCGGCACTCGGGGTGCTCTATCCCTGCGGCTGAGACCCGAGCAGCGCCCGTGGGCTCTGAGGGAGCAGCCAGCGCTGTTCTCATGGCCTGTGGCAGCTGGCTCCTGGGAGCCTCCACTCCCGTCTAAACGCAATTAATTAACGCAACAAGTTGTCTTCCCGACTGCTGCTCAGCCCCTGACGTGATTGTACTTTTCTAGAAGAAATCCTCAAATGGCTTAAGATACCTTGATTTGCAAAGAGATGTTCTGGCCACCCTTGGCTATAAGAAACACTTGCTGGCAGGAGGACAGGGCACACCAGCTGCCAAAACCCAGCAGGCAAAGGGGAAGGATTCAAAACGTTGCTGATCGGTGATATTCTCATGTCTGGTGGCATCAGGCAGTGTGGTGGGGCTGGACCAACGCTGTGGTGGCCACAGGACATGTTAGAAGTGCAGGTTCATGGCCACAGCCCAGGGACCTCACACTGCTACTGTGTGGGTCGCTCACTAACTCTTCCCCCATCACAATTAATGGTAATTTATTGATTGCAATTTATTGTAATTGCAATTGATTGTGTCAATTGACCCCCTGGAGCATGGGGACAGGGAAGAGCACCCAGCAAGTCTGCTAAGGGCCTGTCCCATGTGGATGTGGCCAGAAGTGTGCCCAGGTGGCCAAGAATGCCAATGGCATCCTGGCTTGTATGAGAAACTATATGATCAGAAGAATTAGGGAAGTGATTGTCCCTTTGGGCACTGGTGAGGCCACACCTTGAGCGCTGCGTCTGGTTCTGGGCCCCTCAGCTCAGGAAGAACAGTGAGGTGCTGGAGCACGTCCAGAGAAGGGCAGCAGAGCTGGTGAAAGGTCTACAGGGTAAGTCCTATGAGGAGCAGCTGAGGGAGCTGGGGCTGTTTAGCCTGGAGAAAAGGAGGCTCAGAGGTGACCGTATCACTATCTACAACTACTTGAAATGAGGGTGTAGCCAGGCTGGGGTCAGCCTCTTCTCCCAGGCAACTGGTGACAGGATGAGAGAGCATAGCCTCAAGCTGCACTATGGGAAGTTTAGCTTAGACATTAGGGGGAATTTCTTCAAAGAAAAGGTGATTAAATATTGGACCCCCCCCCTGCCCAGGGGGGGTCTGTCCTACCTAGGAGGTGTTTAAGAAAAGACTGGACATGGCACTTGGTGCCATGGTCTTGTTGACACAGGGGTGTTTGGTCACAGGTTGGACTCAATGATCCCAGACGTCTTTTCCAACCTAATTGCTTTGGTGATTCTGTGATGCTGTGGTGAAACAGCAGTCTTTGAGCTGCTGGTGCCAGGGGGTGGAAGTGGTTAGCACTGCTGTGAGGAGTGACAGTGCCGCCATCCTCTTCACAAAGAGGGGCCATTAGAAAGCTGCTGTGCAAGATATTTCAGATGAGGATGGGGAGCAGACACATCTTTTGTTTGGGCTGTTATGTTCATGAACATACAAAATTTGTCTTTCCTGGATAAAACCAGAAGACTTGTGCATCCATGATGCTGCCCCAGGCTTCCCACGGCCTCTTCCTGGCTGTTGCCTCACCTTGTTCTCTTTGGGGACCCTTGTTGGTCTCTGGGGCTTTGTTTCCCTTCCAAGCACATCACACAAACACCTCTTTGCCAGTTGTGTTGAACCACTCAGCTCCTGGGGAGTCAGAGAAATGGGTGTATTGCCAGCTGCCCTGGGGCTGAGCTTGGCCCCAGGCCAAATTGACAGGTGTTTTCATTTCTCTAATTGTCAGCATGTGCTCTGGGGAGTAAGGTAGGGAGGTTTTTTGCTTTCTCTTGGTGGTGGGGTGCACTGTGTGTCTCTTAGCCCTGACAGAATCCTGCCCATTGTGGTGGAGTGTGTAGCAGCTCTTACTGTCATTCATACCTGAGATGTTCATTTGTTGGGCTGAACAGAACCAGCTTTGCCAGACATTCCCTGGGTGTGGCAAGCCTTCTATGCTGCCAGCTACAGAATTTGCCCTGAGTGAGACAGCACTAGGTAAGTGTGTGTGTGTCTGTGTTTCAAGAATCAATGTTTTATGAAATGTTTTAAGAGAACTGCAATTCACAAATAGTCTTCATGTGCTAATTTACTGTGGATGTGGGCTAATATTGCAGTCTTAGAAGGCTGATCTTCTTCCACTGTGTTTGAGAAAATATTTTACTTTTGTATTAGTCTTTTGAAGTACCTTAGGAAATCTGCTGCAGCATTCAGTCCTGGTGCAAGACTGGTAGGCTCTTGGGTGAGTTTTAATGCTTTGTAGCCAGGTCCTCTCTGCATTTAGAGTATGTGAGCTTGTGTTGAAATTGTTTGCAGTTAACTTAAATAGCTTGAAGTTCCCCTGGTTTAGTTTTATCATGCCCAAGATAAGGTGAGTTCATTGGGGAACACTGATGCAGCAGTTTTGATAGCCTCTTTGCCAAAACAGCACAACCTAACTAAAACACCTTCTCTTTCTCAAAACAATCTGGCTCGGAGTCCCATTTCCTCACATTTCCTTTTCTGTGTGGGCAGCTGTAGCAGAGATGCACATGGAGTCGCAGCACAGTCATTAGTAGCAGCCTCTCCTGGGCACACCTCCTCCTAACTCACAGCACACCCCAGTGCCAGAGGAGGGCATGTGAGGTGCTTGTCCTTGGCCCCTCTCTGGTTTGGCAAAGCATGAGCCACTGGTGAGCAGAGAGAGCAGAGCTCTAGAAAGCATGAGCCTACTGCCCTACAAACCTGTTGTGTCAAGCTGATTGTGTTTCTTGTTGATGAAATGAGATTGCCCTCATGTTTCTGTCTGGGATTTCCTGAATTAAAGACATGGAGTGTCACATGTGCCTGGTCTGGTGGGCCTGGGGCACACGGTGGCCACACTGCAGAGGGAGGCTGTGCTGTCCTTGGGTGGGAATGGGTACAGGCCTGCCTCGGCCCATGGGCTGAGCTGCCTGCACAGCA